CCTCTCCAGAGGATGTTCCCAAGTCGGGGTGATCAGAGCGCTGAACGAGGCTGGAATCCCCGTTGACATGATTGGCGGCACGTCCATCGGCTCCTTCATGGGCGCCCTGTACGCGGAAGAGCGAAGCTACACCCAGATGCGGATCAAAGCCCGGCAGTGGGCCATGGTGAGAGATAGCTCATCGCCGGTCAAGCCAGTCAGATGCAAAAAGAGGAGCAACCCCCCCTCCCTTCTAGCACTGATGATGTTACCTAGTTGGGTCCTGAAACGTCTGCAAGAAAACCACCAAGCTCAGAGAGCACCAAGGACCCCACTGTTCTCTCGCTCACACCCTTGGTAGCTGAGTGGATCCTTTCTGACCATTTGGCCTCTCCTTAAAACTGGACTTTAGGGAGTATGGAAACTATTGGTTTATTTTCATTTATATAAAAATAACTCAAGGTGGTGAACGTACGTAATAACCCTTCCCCTTCCTATTTTCCCCACGGCAACAATCCTGTGAGAGGTAGACTGGGCTGAGAGGGAGGGACTGGCCCAAAGTCATCCACCTGGCTTTCATGCCTAAGGTGGGACTGGAACTCACCGTCTCCTAGTGATTGACCCCGAATCACCCAGTCAGTTTTCATGTATAAGGCAGGACTAGATCTCCCAGTCGCCTGGGGATTGGCCCAAAGTCACCCACTCAGCTTTCACGTGTAAGGCAAGGACTAGAATTCCCAGTCTCCTGGTGATTGGCCCAAAGCCACCCAGCCGGCTTTGGTGTGTTAGGCGGGACTAGAACTCCCTAACACCTTTGCTCTGCGTTTAATCCATCCCTCCTCCAACTCGTCTTCCTCTTCATTTTCTTTTTCTCTTTCTCTCCTTCCACATGCTGCCCTGCTTAGAAGCAATGGAGGTAATGGTTGGCCTGGAGCAATTTGATTGTTTTTTGCTGTGAAGCAGAAGTTGTTTTGGAAAAGGAAAGCCCTGTGCCGTTCGCTAAGACCCCCGCAGGGGGGGTGACCGGTCACTTCTAAGAGACCGTCTCTTGGTCCCATCAACTCGAGAACTTTATTTTGGAGGGAGGGAGGGATGGATGGATGGAATAACTTCCTAAAACCCAGTGAATTGTACATGAATCGCTCACCTCCTGCTTACAGCGGCCGGTGGGCATTTCCCACCCAATCTGTCTTCCTGCCACTTCAAAAACGGCGTGCCTTGATTTATCGAGTGGGGAAAGCACAGAGTCCGTGAGAATTTCTGAGCACGGCGCTTGTCAAGTCTTGCTTAATTGAGAAAAAAGACCCAGGAAAAGATAAACTACAGTAGAGGGTTTTTTCCCCCAACCATTTTAGCATCTCTCAGTATAGGGATAGTCCTCAACCTACGACCACCGTTGAGCCCCAAATTGACGTCGCTAAAGGAGACATCTGGTTAAGTGAGTTTTGTCCCCGCTTCACCACCTTTCGTGCCGCAGTTGTTGAGTCAGCAACCCGGCTGTTAAGTGAATCTGGCTTTCCAGAGGTCACAAAAGGGGAACCACGTGACCCCGGGACCCTGCGAGGACCGTCGTGAATACGAGCCATCTGAATTTTGATCACGTGACCCCCCCGGGGAGGCTGCAGCGGGCGTGTGAAGAACGGTCAACCGTGCCGTTGTAGCTTCAAATGGTCACTAAACGAACGGTTGTAAGTGGAGAACCTTTCTCCCCTCGTGTTTATGTTTATGGGGGGAGGAAGGGAGGGGCCACGGCGCCCCCCATGCGAGGCTGCAGCCTGGCTGTCTCTTCTTCCATCTTGTGACCCAGCAGAGTTCCAGCTCCAGGCAGAGCAGAAACAGGTGTATTGCTTAGTGCCAAACATCCCTGGCGTGGCGAAAATGTTTGTGAGCACAAAGGACGTGAGAGGTCCCTGGTTCCAAAGACAGCCAGTCCCTGGCTTTATTGGGGGAGATGAGGGGAGGGGAGGGGAGGAGAACAGAGGAGAGAGCGGAGCCAAGAACAAGAGAGAAGAGAAGAAAAAGAGAAGGGGAGAGAAAGAGAGGAGGAGAAAGGGGAGGAGTGGAGAAGAAGAAGAACAAAGAAAGGGGCGAGGGGAGGAGAGGAACAGAGAGGAAGAGGAGAATAAAGGAGTGAAGAGGAGAAGAGTGAAGATAATGGAGGAGAGGAAGAAGGAAAAAATGGAGCACGGGGAGGAGAATAAAGGAGAAGCGTGAAGGAAAGGGAGGAGAGGATTTTATGAATCGGTCCTGCCCCCATTGACTGGGCAAAATGGGGGCGAGGGGGGGTGCTTCCACCCACCCACCCCCCAGACCATTGAGCTTGGACCTTGCATTACCTCTTCCTTGTCTCTACCAGCTGTCATCTCTTGCTAAAACAAGGACAGAGATGGCTCTGGGGCGGGGAAAGGGGGTTTGATATTTTTAGAAGGTGCACATGTGCACACACAAACACACACACACATACAAACACACACACACAAACAAAAACACGCACACACACACAGAGAGAGACCTTGTCCTTTGGCATCAGGGCAATGAATCAACAGCAACCAGATCGCGAAAAGAAGAAAGCTTAAGAATATAGTCCAGAAAACCGAAATACTGTATATAATTTTTAATGTTTGTTTTGGTACTTTCTTCTTCTTCCTCTTCCTCTTCCTCTTCCTCTTCCTCTTCCTCTTCTTCTTCTTTTTCTTCTTCTTCTTCTTCTTCTTCTTCTTCTTCTTCTTCTTCTTCTTCTTCTTCTTCTTCCTTCTTCTCCTTCTCCTTCTCCTTCTCCTTCTCCTTCTTCTTCTTCTTCTCCTTCTCCTTCTCCTTCTTCTCCTTCTCCTCCTCCTTCTCCTCCTCCTCCTCCTCCTCCTCCTCCTTCTTCTTGTATCGTCCTTAGTTTGCATTGCTGTTCATCTTTTTCATGGTGTTGTATAATGTATGTTTTGCCCCGAGTGACCTGCCCGATCGGTCACCATGAAATATACATCCCCAAATCTTCAGCAGATGGGTGACTGCCTTTAAGCCTGCCCTTTCACCTCTCTGGCTGTCCACATTTAGCCCACCTAGTTTTCATGAGCGCTCTCAGCTCCTCGTCCCCCTCCCCGTCTTTATGGATCAACAGCTTGGCTCTCTTGGCAGAATATGAACTCGGTGCTGAAAACGGTTCTGGATTTGACCTACCCCATCACCTCCATGTTCTCCGGAGCCTCCTTCAACAACGGGGTCTGCAACATCTTCAGAGATAAGCAGATCGAGGTAGGTGTGCGGGTCCGTGCCCAGCGCGGCACAGGAAGGGAGCGGGGCTGAAAGATCGGAGAGTTTTTGACAGTTGTGTCTTTAAGATGGGTTGTGTGTACATGTCTGTGGAGGTTCTCCATCATCCAGGTCCATGGTTGTCCCAAAGATGCTTTTTCATGAGGCAACTGGTCTTTCTTTCTTTTTTTCTTTGAAGACGTTTCGCTTCTCACCCCAGAAGCTTCTTCAGGTTCTGACTGGATGGTGGGGAAAGGGAAGGATTTATACTCCTTACAGACAGCTGGTCGTTTGCAATTCTTTTAGAGAGTCGCTGAGGCCACTTGGAGGTTTACCTGTGACACATTAGGCCACGTTAGGCAACTAGGCACCCCTGGGTGTTCGGATCCGGTGTTGGATTATCTTGCCCGCCTTGACTCCTCTCTCTAATGAGCTCTTTCTGTGCGGCAGGATCTCTGGATTCCTTTCTTCATCATCACCACAGACATCACGGCCTCGGCTATGAGGGTCCACACCGACGGTAGGGAGCCTGCGAGAATTGGGGGTGATGATTTGGGCAGGGATCATCTTGTGTGCAGAAAGAAAGAAAAGAGAGAGAAAGAGAGAGAGAGAAAGAGGAAGGAAGGAAGGAAGGAAGGAAGGAAGGAAGGAAGGAAGGAAGGAAGGAAGGAAGGAAGGAAGGAAGGAAGGAAGGAA